TGGCGGGTGCCTTAGCTGGTTGAGCTATAGGCGCCGAGCCAACAAACCCTTTTTGTGTTCTGGTTTCTTCATCTGAACATGAAAACTGTAAGGCATTCCCCATTCACTCTGTAGGACTGATGTGACCATAATAATGAGACTGTGCAAAAGCAGTTCACTCTCATTACATCACCTAACTGGGTCTTTACAACAATCTCATCAGATAGACAGGGAAAGCAGTTTTAGATCCTTTTAGGGATGAGAAAACTGGGGCTCCTTAAGGTGAAGGGTTTGCCCGGATGCAAGGCTAGCATGCAGCAGTGCTGGGCTTCACCTACGCTCTTGTGCACCCAGCCCCCGCATGGCAAGAGGCTCAGGTGACACAGAATCTGCTATTATTTTTTCCCAGGACGATTATAGTTCAGATGTTTGCCAGTGGATTAGCACTGGTTACTCTGGGCATCCTAAGTGCCTCCAATCTATCATTTCTTAAGTGGGTCATTTTGACCTAAGAAAGTGTAGGAGAATCACTAACTTGGTGCTAAAACAGGGGAGGGTGGAGTTAGCCAAAAAGAGGATGAGCCTGTGGGTATTTCTGATGCCATCCTCTGCTGATGGCAATCATATGTTCTGCTGGGCACACCTTTAGGAAAGTTCATAGATTCTGGTTGTACTTGTCATTGTTTGGCCAGCCTGGGCCTGATTCGAATCCGCCAGCTCTGGTGTATGTGGCTGGCGCCTTAGCCGCTTGAGCTACAGGCACCACCCGAAAGTTCATAGATTCTAACAGTCCCACTTTATGGGTAAGAAAACTTATGCCTAGGAAGACAGGCCCAAGGTCACACAGCTAGTAACTTAGCTATTTCAGCCCCAGATTTTCTAACTGTAAGTCCCGTGGCTCCTTCCTTGTTGCCTGAATTTCAGGCTACCTTTCATCTCATCCTGTCTGGGGCTCATCCCTCCATTACAACTCACAGTGAAACGGTAGCAATGGGAGTGATATGCATAGTGGATCCTTTTCTGTAAGGGTCTCTGCATGACAGGGGCAGTCCTCTTGAAGATCCACCATCTGGTTCAAATGCAAGGCTTGGACACAGCTTTGTCCTCATGGGATAGGACAACGCCACTGATATGTGTTGGGGAAGAGGAAATATTACTCACGACTTGTCTCGCCTGCCGAGCCTTCTTGGGGGGCTTGCTTGTCTCCTTCTGGGGGACAGAGATTTTCCCCGGCTTCTCACCTGGGTCGGAGAGTGGGCACTTGCAGGTTTCAGGATCTGAAGGATATATGAGGAATTAACCACACTGCTTCCTAAAGGACCCCCAGCCCAGCATCCCAGCCCCCGTCCCATTCATGACGGCACCGAGCAGGAAGACTTCCAAAGGGAGACACCCACGTTCCTCGCTTATTCAGCGTTCATAAGAACGAAGGCTGTCACTTCCCAGAGGGTGAAGTGGATGATCACATTGTCCCCCCTTTCCGTGGCACAGAGAGCAGCAGAGCCTGATGCTTCAGCCTCCTGGGGGCTGTGTTTGCTTGCTTGGAAGTTTCTGTTTTCATGAAGGAAAAGTCCCATATATGCTGCCCGGAAACCAGCTTGTTCTCTCTCTGCCATCCCACGTACATGACAGAGTGGTTTCAATCTATCAAGAATCTCCACTCCAGGTCCCACAGAGCGAAGACGACAGTCGGCAAATGCTAAACCTAACCACGCCTGAGGTCAGCACACTCCCTTTCCCTGCGGTGTCCAGTGTACGCACAGGCTTTCTCTCAGTGACTCTACAGCCCTGGAGGGACAAGGACACCATAGCACTTTGGAGGTTAAACTGGGAGAGGGAAAGAGGCTTCTGAGTACAATCTGCATAAGGCCTGCATGGCGGATGCTTCCTCATTTGCTTTTGTGACACCAGGTTAAAATTTTATGCCAAAGGGCTTTGCAACTCATAAGGCAAAACAGAGATATAATACGACCCTGAGATATTAGATAATAAAGCAGGCTGACCAAGTCATCCTGATTTTCCTGGGCCTTTCCGAGTTATAGTTCTGAAAGTGTCATGCCACGGGAAAGCCTTCAGGTTCCAGGTAAACTAGAACTGGTCACGCTATCATAAAGACGAAACAGAACAAAACTCGAGTTTCAGTAGAAAATGACTAACATTTTAGATCTGATTTTATAGTAAGAATCGCAGGCCAAGACACTGCTTTCACTGTGACAGTTAAATTGATTTTAGCTGTTGTTTGAAGTGGTACGTGCAAAAAGAGACAGTAACCTCAAGACATTTTTGACCATCCTTGAAAGATGAGTCCTGGAACAAGAGAACAGGAAAAGGCTCCTTGTGTCACTGGTCTTCCCAGCACCTACCTTCATTCTCATGTCCCTGGCATATTTTTCCAGCTCCTTCCTTATGTCAGCCCTCAACATCTTTGAGATGTTGAGGACCAGCTGCTTCCATTCAATGGGTTGGAAGCTATGAGGCTCATGGGGGACGTACAGCCCAATCTTGACCTTCTTGACTGTGTGCAAGTATTTCTTATAGGAGTCTTCAAAGTCAAAGATGAGGTCGCTCAGAGTCCGAAAGGTTAATGGCTTGTCCATCAGCTCCGCCCTTCGGCTCATGCCCAGTGAGCCATAGCGGCCATTGCAATAAATCCCCAGCACGACGTGGTGAAAGTAGTTTCCTGAGAAGTAGGTTTTAAAGCTGATGGGGAACCGCTCAATGGAAGGCTGTCCATTGGTTAAGTATCTTGGACAATCTGAGTCAAGGAAGAGAAAACAGGACTTGAAAATGCACAGAGCTTAGATTCCCAGGAAAGGAACGCACTTCACAGGGGTCAGGAAGTCCATCCCTTTGTCTCTGAGCCAGCTCACATCAAACTTTCCAGACTAATCCTTTTATAAAGGATTCACTTGATTATCTACGACTACCCACTATACGGTATATATCAAAACTAATATGGGACAAAGAGGAAAACGTTTCATTTTCTTCAGCAATTTCATAAATGCAAAACAAAAAAATAACAAGTCACTTTTTCTTCACTGAGTTTTCTACAGAGAATGAGGAGCTATTAAAGAGTTTATTTATTTACTTATTTCACACAATTGGAATGACATGCTCAGACTGCCACGTGTGGGGCAGACCAAGAACGGAAGGCCCCTGCAATGGTCCAGTTGAGAAAGGAAAACCAGAACCTAGGAGTGGAGATGTGAGAGGCAGACTGGTTGCTTATCTGGATGGCAGCGTCAGCGCAGGTCCCATCTGCATCCCGTCTGGTGTTTGCATTGGCGCTGGCCCACCCGTGCCAGCAGCCCTGGGTACCACCCAGAAAGCTGCCTCCAGTCCCCAAGCCACTGAGTGTGACAGCTCTCTCTGCTTACTGGCCCATTTGGATCTATCAACAGCCTCCTGGCACTACCTTGGTTTTGGCCCCCCAGCTCCACTTTGGCTCCAAGTAACCTCCCCATTGGGCAAGAGGTACCACATCCTCACACCCGCTGCAAAGCCCCACAACAGCCCTGGCGAGGCCATCATCACTCCTAGACAGCTTCTCTGGAGAGGGAAATTGGGAACGCATAGTGTCACTCCTCTGCTGGAACCTTTGGTGACTCAAGAGTGTTCCTAAGGTAAGTAATAAGCCAGGTGCCCACTGAGGTGCCTTCAGTGTGGTAAGTGCTCAGTGAATGGATACAGTTCTCTACTGTCTGGGAACCTGTCTTCATCCCATTCACTTTCCACACAGAATGACCTCCTTTTTTTTTTTTTTTGAGACAGGGTCTCACTCTGTCACACAGGCTATATTAGAAGTGGCATTATCACAGCCCACTGCAACCTCAAATTCCTGGGCTCAAATGCTCCTCCCACCTCAGCCTCTCAAGTAACTGGGACTCTAGGCATAGTTTAAGCACCACTACACCCAGCTAATTTTTGTATTTTTCATAGAGATGGGGTCTCGCTCTTGCTCAGGCTGGTCTCAAACTTCTAGCCTTAAGTGATCCTCCTGCCCTGGCCTCCTAAAGTGCTATGATTACAGGGGTGAGCCACTGCACTCAGCCAGCATAACCTTCTTAAGCCAAAATTTGACATAAGTCACTCTTCTGCTGATGAGTTTTCATTGTCCCTCATCTTTTTCAGGCCTTAGTCAAATCCCTGAGCAAAGTCCTTCCATGATTTGGCCCCTTGCATCAAGCCTTCTGTGCAGTCTCATTTTCCTGACACCCACGGTTAGCCCACCCTCCTTCCTACTGCAGGCCCTTGACAGTTTTTTGAAGAATACACCTTGAGGCCTGAAAGAATGCACATATTGGGGCCAACTGCTCTCTGCACATATGTTCTCCCCTAATATGAAGTCAAATGTAACTGAACCTTTTTAATGACCTTTACATTACAAAGCTATATGTACGAGTCCAAAGTGATTATGCAGCTTTTTAAAAATATTAGGCTATTCAACAAACTCTATACTACATTACATCCCTACTGCAGAACTAACTTCTTTTTTTTTTTTTTTTTTTTTTTGAGACAGAGCCTCAAGCTGTCCCCCTGGGTAGAGTGCCATGGCATTACAGCTCACAGCAACCTCCAACTCCTGGGCTTAAGCGAGTCTCTTGCCTCTGCCTCCCAAGTAGCTGGGACCACAGGCGCCTGCCACAACGCCCGGCCATTTTTTGGTTGCAGCCATCACTGTTGTTTGGCGGGCCCGGGCTGGGGATTCGAACCCGCCACCTTAGGTGTACGTGGCTGGCGCCTTAGCTAGTTGAGCTATAGGCGCCGAGCCAGAACTAACTTCTTTTATGGCTTCGCTTGCACATCAGCCTTACAGCATGGAGAGATTTTTGGAGGACCTGTCAGTGGTAAGGATACTGCGGGGTTGCCCTCTCCGTCCCTGAGGCTCACACAGATCACACTACACCCTGGAACAGCCTCGCCACTAGCCACTGCCCCTTCCTGGGTGGCATGCCTCCTCCAACCTTCCTCGCCTTGCTTAGACATCCTCCCCACTCCCCCAAGCACCCCCTGCCCAAGAACTCCCGTAGCCCTTGCTGCGTACCCATCTTTAGGACAGTAGAAGTTGTACTTCATGCCCTGATATCCCCTGGGCACAGCACAGGCCTGGTACACAGAAGGGCTTGCAGGAAGAACAAACCTTAGATTGTGAGGATACACTTCCTTACACACTTCCTTACGCTTAAAAGGACAGCACTCGGTGAGGGGCGGAATCCAGGCACCCTGACAAGAAGGGTGCCGACAGAACCCAGTCCCCGGCCCTGATGCGGCCTCGTCTCCTGTCCTTCAGTTTAATCACAGACAGCTTCAGCTTCTCTCTCTCCTGTTCTCCTTCTCTTCACTTTGTCATGTGAGATTCAGTGGCAGTTAGGAAATGAAATGATATCCCGAGTCCTCTCACATAAATTCTTGCTTTTTGGGACAAGTTCTCTAGGACTGGAATAAGGGGATTCCTTAGCTGTTCAGCCAGAGTAACAAACACTCAGAGTGTCCACTGCGCCAGACCGGCTGCTGGGGAGGGCTGTGGGGCCAAAGGTACAAAAGCAGCACTTCTCTGGCAGTCAGGTGGGAGATAAACGCAAAATGGACACAAAGCAATCAGTATGGAGGGTCCTCAAACAATTCAACAGACTTACGAGAGACTCAGCAACTCCAATTCTGGGTTTACACCCAAACGGATGGAAAGCAGGGACTCCAACAGACGTTTGTACACCCATGTTGTTAGCAGCACAATTGGCAATAGCCAAAAGGCGCAAACAACTTAAATGTCTGGATAAAGAGATGAACAAAGGTTCCATATACATACAACCGAATATTATTCACCTTAAAAAGGAAGGAAATCCTACCACATGCCATAATACGAATGAACCTCGAAGATGTTATGCTCAGTGAAACTAGCCAGATACAAAATGACAAACGGTATATGGTTTCACTTATCTGAGGTTCTAAGAGTTGTCCAATTCAGAGACGAGAAGTAGAATGGAGGTTGCCAGGCTGGGAAGAGGAAATGGAGAATACTGTTTAATGGTAAGGTGACCAGATTTTAACATTGGTAAAGCGGGACACCATGGGGGGGGCGGGGCCTGACAACAATGCAAACTTTGATAAGCAGTTCTCGATAATCAGTTCTCAACAATTATTTGTTATTATTAAAGTTTAACATTATAAAATTAACAAAAATAATATAAAATGTATATCCTGGTGAAATAGACACATGGCAGCCAAAACCGTGTATTCCCTTCCTGTTCTCCCATGTTCCCTAGCTTGTTGTGCATTCTTTCCAAAAATTGAGGCTTTTTTATAACACCGCAGGATAAATTGTTAAAAATCAGGACTGTCTCACCAAAAGTGGGACGTCTGGTCACCTTATTCTGGGGTGGGGGAGGTGTTACTTGTTTGTTCCAGACAGTTTGGCTCCTTTTGAGCTAATTGTCCCTGCCTAGAAGCAAGGGAGGGAGCCAGTCTCCTTCTGATACCTTGCCCAGGAGGGGAGTAGGGAGTTTACATTAGCCTTTTCATTTCCAAATGAAGTTACATTAACCTCTTCGTTCCCAAATGGAATTACATTAACCTTTTCAGCAGCCGATATATTCCCTTCCCATTCTCTTGCTGTTCCCTAGCTTGTCATGCATTCTTTCCAAAAATTGGGACTTTTTTAAAACACTGCAGGACGCAGGACAAATTGTTAAAAATTGGGACTGTCCCGCCAAAAGCGGGACGTCTGGTCACCTTAGTTTAATGGGTACAGAGTTTCAGTTCAGGGAGATGGAGACATTCTGGAGATGGACAGTGGGCATGCTGCCCAGCATTATGGATGTACTTAGTATCATTGAACTGTACACTTAAAAAAGGGTTACAAAGAGCCGGGCATGATGGCTACTGCCTGTAATCCTAGCACTCTGGGAGGCCGAAGTAGAAAGTGGGAGGATCGCTTGAGCTCAGGGGTTCAAGACCAGTCTCAGCAAGAGTGAGACCCCATTTCTACTGAAAATAGAAAAATTATCCAGGTGTTGTGGTGAGTGCCTGCAGTCCCAGCTACTTGGGAGGCTGAGGCAAGAGGATCGCTTGTACCCAGGCATTTGAGGATGCTGTGAACTAGGTTAATGCCACAGCACTCTAGCCTGGGCAATAGAGTGAGAATGTCTTAACCACAACAAAGGTTAAAATGGCAAAGTATATGTTATAAATATTTTACCACAATAAAAAACAAAATCAGAACACAATGTCATGTGTGTTGTTAAGAGAGGCAAGCCCTGGCTTGGCACCTGTGGTAGTGGTTACAGTGCCAGCCACATACACCCAGGCTGGCAGGTTTGAAACCAGCCCAGGCCAGCTAAACAACAATGACAACTGCAACAAAAAAATAGCTGGGCTGTGTGGCAATAGTTGTAGTCCCAGCTACTTGGAAGGCTGAGGCAAGAGAATAGCTTAAGTCCAAGAGTTTGAGGTTGCTGTGAGCTGTGATGCCATAGGACTCTACTGAGGGTGACATAGTGAGACTGTCTCAAAACAAAACAAAACAAAACAAAACCAACCAACAAACAAAAAACCAAGAGAAGCAAGCCCGGCCATCTCTGGGTGGCAGAGGGGGATCCTCAGTACCAGGACAATGAGATGACTCTTACAGGACAAGTGGAGAGAGCCAGGTTTAGACATGGGAATGGAAAGGGGTCAGGAGAGAACACCAGTCCATCACATCACAGTCACGGATCTCTAGGAGTTTTTCCATCTTTATGTCAATCAGTAAAGCCTTGGAACCTGGAGCAACTGGGAACAGAGCGGGGACTGGGGGTGTGAAAGGAAGTATGGATGAAAGGAGGGGAGCAGCCTGAGTTTTTCCAGGGAAGGGGGAGCAGCAGCATCCCAAGCCCCAGCCTCCAGGCAGTATGTCTGGCCCACCTCTCACAATGAACCTGTTACTTTAATAACCCTTAGTGCTCAGTAACATGAACAAGCCCCACCACAGTTGGTGAGGTCCCCCAAATACTTGTGTAATTCAGAAGATAATTTGGAACCAGAGACCAACCTATCCAGCACGCATGTGAAAGTGTGCACATGCCCTCCAGCGAGATAAAAGGAAGTGGTTCTTCAGTAATGAATCCTGAACTCTGGGCCAGAGTCAAAACAGAGAAAACAAGAAAGGACAAGCCAATGAACACAGGCTTCGAAAATGCCAAGCCAGCCAGCTGCAAAGCTGTCAAGGCACCATTTGTTTCCCAGGAACCTGCAGGAGACACAGACGGATGACACGACCCAAGTGGAAAGCAGGGCCCAGCGGCGCTGACACAGCAAAGAGAAAAGACAAAGATACTGTAACTTATAAAATTCAGGTCTGTGTTTCTTGTCTGTGTGCAAGAGTCAAATTTCCCTTAGTTTGGCTGAATCTCTCCACCCACCACACCTCCCCTATACTTTCCTAAAATGTCACAAGAATAAGAACAAAGGAAAACTAAGAACACTGTCTGTGACATGGGCCTGACCAATCTTGAAAGGCTGTAGGTGATTCCAGTGACACGATGCTTGGATGCATAAGACTGTGCAGGGAAGAAACTATTCTGTAAGAAGGGGACCCCAGTGCAGGTGCACTCAGACCCCCTCTGTAGCGTCTGAAGTCAGCTTGTCCACTTCAGGAAGTTCTCCTCCACTGATCTCTGTCAGCAAACTGGCAGCCAACTGTTCACCCCCATTAAATCTGCAAGAGGCTCTGCTGAACAGCTGTGGCCAACTCCTGCCACTAAAGAGTTGGGGCCCTGAGCCATCTGCTGCCCCAAGGCCAGCCCCAGCCTCCTGCTGGGCTCCCCAGGCTCACATTCCATCTCTTTTGTGGGCATCAGGGAGGAGCAAGACAGGAGGACCAGAAGAGGCCTCAATAAGGCTCAAGTTTCTATTTTTCAAACATCAGCGAGGCACCCACCGGCAGTCTTGTTTCTGATCAGGCCTGCAAGTGCTCCACAGACTGCAGAGAACCACAGAAACTCCCCTGTCCATAAAAACATCCGGGAGACTGAGAAAACAGACGGACCAATCCTATTGGCCCCAGTCTAACTCTGAACCGTGTGTTCTCTCCCTCCTGGTTTTCCTTCTGCCTCCCTGACTTTCCTTCTTAAGTCTCTTGCATGGGCTCTTTGTACCCAACTAGACCAAAAAAATATTTTTCTCCTCTCAAGTTCTTCAACAGCCACACAGCACCCTAAACACTCAGAGCTCCTAAATTTGCATTCCCAATGCAGATTCCTTTGCAAGCTCCACACTCTAAATACCCCCTCCTGATATCCCACAGGCACCTCAAATTCAACAAGTCGAAATCTGAACTCATCTTTCCCCCTAAGTTTGTCCCTCCCACCTTGGCATTACTATGCAAACCACCAATGTGCAGCCATGTCCCCCTCCTTTAACTCTCCCTGGCTAATCAGTCCCCTTGGGGTGGTGATGATCATACACCTCCCCACCTTCCCTCCACCTTTGCCAGCACCATCTCAGCTCAGGTCTGCAATGATGCACCTCACCTCCCTGCCACTCCTGTTCCCCCAGCCCACCTCTGTGGACATCACCCAATCCAGACACCTGTGTTTGTTCACTCCTTCCTCATCAGTGTCCGCATCCAGTCAGCCCCCGAGTCCTCTACATTGTATCTCCTCAAGCATCACCATTGCTGCAATAGCTCCAGGTGGGCTTTGCAGATCCCACCCTAGCCTCCTCCAATCTGTCCTCTTTCAGTCTGTCCTTTAAAGCACCAGGGGCTAGTTTCATCAAAGACAATTTTTCCATGGACTGGGGGGAGAGGGTATGAAGGATGGTTTTGATATGAGTCTGTAAGCAATTGATTTATTATGGTCTCTGTGCAGTCAAACGTCTTGCTGCCCCTCAGTCCTAGCATCACCACCTCAGCTCCACCTCAGATCATCAGGCATTAGGTTCTCCTAAGAGTGTGCAACCTCCCTCACATGTGTGTTCACAGTAGAGTTCATGATCCCATGAGAATCTAATGTTGCTGCCGATCTGACAGGAGGTGGAGCTTAGGCGGCGATGTGAGTGACAGAGAGTGGCTGTAAATACAGATGAAGCTTCCTCACACACTGCCACTCACCTCAAGCTATGGGGCCCAGTTCCTAACAGGCTGCTTATGGGTAGAGGTAGACAGCCTGGGGCTTGGGGACCACAGCTTTAGAGAGCTACCTCTCGAAAGTGTACACCAGACCACGTCTTATCTGGGCTGCCCATTGCATTTGGGAAAAGGTCACTTCTCGGCGCAGCACTCAAGGACTTAACTAGTCTCACCTGTGACCACCTCGCAAGTGTATGAGCGACGTATCTTGCCTGTGTTGCCTTTGCCACTGTCCCTTCGAGCCCCATAAGGCTTGGGAGTGTCTTTGCTCTTCTATGTAATCCTGTTCTATTGTCATCACCACGAATAAGTCAGCGCCATCCATTTTGGGGGACCATATTCTTCTCAGGCTGAAGAGGCAGGTGTTTGGCAGCAAATGGAACAGAAAGTGTGGGAGAGACCAGACCCTTGCTTCAGCTGCGTTCCGTCCAGCCAGGACACACCCCCATTGTTGGTGTCTTCCACATTCCACTCTCAGAATTTTCCTTGGAGAAGGGTCTGGACACTAACACTCTCATTTCCCCGGGAGTGTTTTTCCTGTTGCAATGTTGGATTAATGCAAGAAACAGCCACACACTCTCTCTAGTCCTCAATTCTAAGATGGAATTGTCCTTGTGAATCTGCAAGGTCACTAGCCTGAGATGTCCCTGGTGGAGGCTGTAGCTAACAGGTTAGACTAACATTGGTCCAGGAGCCCAGCATTGATTTGGTTCAACTCTAGATGGGGACAGTTAAAGAGAAGCATCAGGGGAGTTGGACACTCTCTCCAAGGAGACAACAAGCATCGGCTCTGCAAATTTAGGATGTTAAAGGCACAGCCACCCTCACAGTGAGGCTCATCTGTGAACGTGAGTACACATAACTTGAAGGATACATGCCCAGGATGACAGCTTCAAGGCATTTGATGGGCAGGGACTCCCGGGTCATTTCTTTTGCTGTTTCCATTAACCTGCAGGATAAAGCACAACAGAGGATCTCAGGACTGACTTAATTATACAGTCCGTCTGTCAGTCCACCAGCAAGCCTATCACCACACTAGACACCATGAAGGAACACAGAGGAGGGAACTGGCCACACAGGATGGCACCAAAGTATACCTGCACTTGGCCACTAAAATCCTAAATTCTCAGCTGGGCGCAGAGGCTCACGGCCTGTAATCCCAGCACTTTAGGAGGCTGAGGCAGGTGGATTGCCTGAACTCAGGAGTTCGAGATCAGCCTGAGCAAGAGTCAGACTCTGTCTCTAAAAACAGGCAGACATTGTGGGAGGTGCCTATAGTCCCAGCTACTTGGGAGGCTGAGGCAAGAGAATCACTTGAGCCCAGGAGTTTGAGGTTGCTATGAGCTAAGGGTGACAAAGGGAGACTTTGTCTCAAAAAGAAAAAAAACAAAAACAAAAACAAAAAAACTGGGCAGCTCCTGTGACTCAAGGAGTAGGGCGCTGACCCCATATGCCAGAAGTGGCGGGTTCAAACCCAGCCCCAGCCAAAAACTGCAAAAAAAAAAAAAAACGAACCTAAATTCTCCATTTCCCTTTCCAAGAGTTAATTGCTATATCCCACAGCACCCACCCAATGCTACAATGAGGCCTCACAAAGCAAATAATATGAGCCTCTTCTAGCCTGAGAGTTAGTATTCACCACTGAACTTAGCTGCCCTAGTGCCCCCCTCCAACCTGACCCCAGGGCACTCCCCACCTCCACCCCATACACACTAGGAGATCTGAGCACTGGGATACAGGGATGGAGGTCAGGAGAGGGAGTTGGAAGCTCAGGTTAGGAAAAAGGTCAGATGGCCCACAGAACATGCACCACTTACCCACTCAGTGGTCTCATTTTTCTAATTTCAAAGAACTGGGTCCCTGTATGATTGTATCTGTGTGAAGCATATAAAGGGAAAGTGACAGCAAACTGCAAAGGTCCCGGGAATCTGTCAGAGGAAGCCATGCATTCTGATCTCTCTGTGAGATGAGGATGTGGAGGCTTTTCAGAAGTGGCCAGTAGCTAGAGGGAGTCGATAGCTTCTAACGCCTCATTATCCTTGGTAGAATCTAACTTCTAACTTAAGGTTCACAGCAACTTGGACCTTTATAACAGCTCCTTTCCTTCTATTCTGTATTCTGATTAACCGAACATATATCTTCATTGCTGGACTATAAGTTCTCTGAGAGTTGGGACTATTTCATCATCTTTAGATCACCCATAAAACCTGGCAGAAGCCCAACATATGCAAGTTAGAAAATATTAAATGAATGAGAAATGAGTGAATGGACAGGTGGCTATATGGATGGATAAATGGGTGGATGGGTGGACGGAACCATGGAAAGATAAATGGATGGATGGATGGATGGATGGATGACAGAGGCACTTGCACCTGCTAAGAAGGGCTGGGACTCCTTTCCTCCCCACTCAGATAGTGCTCAACCTCTCTGCCATGGACACACATATCCACCCAGACAGCTCCTTCTAAGTAGATTCTGAGCTCCATCCCTGGAGATTCTGATGTCAGGCCATGGTTCTTCACCTTCATTGCCACTCAGAGTCAGCTCACCTCAGACTATTGCACTACAAGCTCCAGGGTGAGGGCTGGAAGGTGATTTCTACAAGCACACCAGTTTGAGAATTACTGTCTTTGGCCATAAGAATAACAATTAGCAATATAGGCTTGCCCAGCTTTTAAAAGATACAACATGCAAGCCCCAGAGGTAAAAGAGAAAAATGAAGGGCTAATATTCTCACAGTGAATTAATTTTATTTTACTGAAGACTATATTAAAGCAGTGAGGTTCTTGTTACACAAAATAGAATTCAATTGGTAAAGTTCAGTTCTGTGCCCAAATCTCCCTTGTTCGTTTATCGCATTGATACATCTAGTGAATAAAGTGAGATAAACCTTTAATTAAATAATTAAAAAATTACCTATCCTTCCTCACTTCATAGTTAACAAATGAGCCCCAGAAAGGGGGCTGGAGAAAAAAGTCTCTAAACGTTCCCTCTGGGCATGAAATTCTCTGAGCCCAGAGTTTGCCTCAGAGGACTTCTTCCCCACTCAGCAGAGCTCAGGGAGTGCCTCTTTCCAGAGCCAAGGCAAAATCAGCACTCCTGTGGGCCGCTGCCCTCAGGCTGTCTGAGGGGAAGGCAGGACTTGTCCTCCCATATCCCCACAGCCAGCTGAGCACACTCACAGCCAGGATTGACCCCGACTGGCACCCGCGCCCAGAACAAAGCAGCAGGAAGTCCTAAGAACTAAATAAAAGTCCGGTAAGAAGGTCAAGGCAGAGTCCACACTCTGCCTTCCTTGTGTGGTGGCTCCAGTGGCCAGGTGACCACGAGCATGCTCCTGGCAGCCTGTAGTTGGGGACCTTCCCTTTTCCAGTCCTCTCTGCAGCCAGTGATGAAGTAGGTAGGCCATTGGTCTTTGCAGTCATAAAGAATAAGAGAAGAGACAATTAAAAGCAGATCCTCAAGACAACCAGGAAACCTCAGCTGAGCGTGAGCTGTAAGGTTCATGGTAGCGTGAGCATGAGCGTGTCTATAAAGCACATGCGCATCTGCCCATCCCTGCATTCCCAGCCAGGCTCCTGCTCCCAGCGCCCTGGCCAGACAGAGCCTTGTGAAGATCAGGTCCTACATAGAAATGGGAGCCATTCTAATTCTGTCACCTTCTGGAATGTGAGCCATTCTAATTCTCCTCTGGAATGTGAGGAGTCAGTCACATCCAGAGAGGGTTAGCTCTTGGGATCCAGGTTTACCCTGGCAGGATTCCCATGCCTCTGGACTACATGGAGCTAGGGCTGAGCACCAACATCAGACAGGCTTGCAAGGGCTGGAAGTCTCCCTCCTAGAGGCTGGAGCTACTTTCTCCTAATACTGCATTAGGATTCCGCGGGGAAGATGCCAGGCGGGGGAACTGATGATCCCTGAAGTAGAAAGAGAGAGGCTCATCAAATAACCTCCCTGCCCAAAGGAGAAATTGGTGCTATTCCCAGCGGGTAGTATCCAGCCTTATGAGGTAGGTGGTGCTCCTTGGTCCCTTCAGGGAAGACACAAAAATCCACTAGAAGGATTCTTGCCTATAACACAGAGAGGAGAGGCTCTTCTGGGACATGTGGGACATATGTGCGCTGCCCCCTGAAATCCTATTTGCCTCAAGGCTGGGTATGAACAGTCAAACAGAAAGCGAACCAGTGGGCTTGGGGCCTTGTAAGGCATGCTGAGTTTTATATCTTTATAAAGGAAGAACAGAGGTTGGCAGAAGCTTGGCCTCCTGGATAATGTGCTAAAGGCCAGCTCCCATCTGACTCCTGTCCCGTAAATGGCAGGTGGACCAGTTGCTTCTAAACTGTTGCTCGTGAGGGTTGTCAGAACTGATCTAATCCTGGCTGCAAACAACCTGAAGACATGGGAGAAGAAAAGGATCAAAAGTCTGGCTGGTCTGAACCCAAACTGGACCCACAGAGTTGCGTAGTTCCTCTTCAAGCTCGAGAAGGTGGAGCGGGCTCCCATCCGAGAGCCCCATCCATTCACACAGAACCAAGCAAGATCGCCGGCCTGGGTCAGCTAGGGAGCCAAAGGCAGCACGAGGTGGACCTCTCTGTAGATCATGAACGGTCAGGGGTGAAGGCAGAGAAGTGAGAGAAGAAAAGAAAAGAGCAGAAGAATAGGAGGGAAGAGGGCAAAATAAAGATAGTAGAGGAAGACAAGAGGAGGAGAGCCAAGAAGATCAAGAGACAAGAGGTGGAGAAGGAGGAGAAGGAAAAAAGAGTGGTGTCCAGAGAAGAGGGACAGGGAAGGAGAGAAAGGAGAAGCCAGAGTGGCTAGAGAGGGACCAGCCCCGCCTCACTGGCCCCCCTGCCCTGCCCACATGCGCCCTGAAGGAGAGGGGTTGGGGCATCACAATTATACTCTCTCTCAGTACTCTTTCTAGATTCTTACCTAGGGGCACCCCTCCATGCCTGGCCTCACCAACCTTACAGAGCTTCTGATGACCAGCTGGGGAAAGATATGCCACCAGGCTGGGGAGCACCACGCCTGTCCCCTGGCTGGGCCTGCTCAGACCTTGGTTGGAAGGATACTGTAGTGTCTTCATGTAATCCTGGATTGCCTGGAGCCAGTCTGGAATTGTCATCGACAGCCTGTAGTTTGGGACCTGGGGTATTGAAGGCTGCAGAGAAATAAAGAAGGGAATCTTTTCATCAAGGAGGTACTCTTGGGGCCCAATTCCTGAAACCTCATGGAGAGCAGTTCCTGAGAGGCCACCCAGGCCTGGACGCCTGTTCACATGATGCTTCCTCCATGAGGTCTCCCCAGAATGTTCGGTCCCTCCATGAATTCTCCCTCTACACACGCTCTACTCTGAGTCACGGTGGTTCTCTATGACCCTCTGGGTATTGTGATTGTGAATATAGCCCGTGTCCTCCTGAAAGCCCAAGAGCCTCCTTGAGGCCAAGGACATGTCCTATATATACTATCCCCCATCAAGGCTGGCCTAGCATGGATACAAAGCCGTTCCATTAGTTACTGCCTGACACTTTTGGCTATGTCACCAAGGGTGACCCAATATATGTGCTCAAGGGCACCAAACACAGAATATGAGCTAAATGGTGCACTGAAGAATTGCAACAAGCATGACTGCACTGTCTCAACACCATGCTCCCTGCAACGCCTGTTGCATCCCTTCCTCCGAGTCCCAGCAAGGGTGGATCAGGAAAGCCCTCCACCTGACTTGACTCTGCCCAGACAAGTGCGCCCCTCCGACTCCTAAGCCACCTTCCTCCACTACCCCTCACTGCAGCACCCCTAGCGCCTTCATTTCCTAGTTTGCCTCTCAGTCAACACTCACTGCATATCTATAATTGAGAGGATGAAGTTCTAATCCCTGCTGGGAAGGGAAGGACCAAATGAAGACAGGATTGGAAAGGGATGGCAGGTGTCCCTTCTCAGGAATTTAGAGCTCAGCTCTGAGCAGCCCTGCCAAGGAGGCCAAAAGCAAATCGTGATGTTCAATCAAGTCACTCCTGGGAACCAAGGGATGCGAACCCGGGTTTTTCTGTTTGCTTGTTTGTTTGTTTGTTTTCTTTTTTTGAGATAGAGTCTCACTATGTCACCCTGGGTAGAGTGCTGTGGTGTCACAACTCACAGCAACCTCAAACTCTTGGGCTTAAGCGATTCTCTTGCCTCAGCCTCCCAAGTAGCTGGGACTGCAGGTGCCTGCCACAACGCCCAGTTATTTTTTGTTGCAGTTGTCATTGTTGTTAACTGTCCCAGGCTGGGTTTGAACCTGATGCCATAACCACTTGCTATGGGCACCAAGCCTGCTTGGTTTGTTTGTGGGTTTTGCTTTATTTCCCCTATGTGTTCTCAGTCTTCTGATCTCTGTCTCTCTGGTGGTTGGTGACAAAAAAAGTCAGCCCATGTGGGCCAGGGCTCCGGGAGTGCTGCTGCCTGGAAGGAGACAGGAGGCTCCTCCAGGCCTAAGCTGCTTAGGGAGAAGCAGAAAGGACTGGAGGACGGATTAGTCCCATCCTCAGAGAAAACAGGGCAAGGGTGGCCCTGGGGATTTAGGGCTCAGCTTGATAGAGGGTGAAGCTGCTGGTGAACAGCCCTGGGGACAGTCCTGGGCAGGCCGGCTGGGCTGCAGAGCCAGACACTGCCTCAGGCTGTCCTTGGCTCTCTGCCTGGCTCTGCAGGCACCAGCCCCACAGCGTGGCTGAGGACATGCTGCCCCAGGCAGGGCGTTAGGCTCTCCCTACATATGGACCCCTGTGGCTGCGTTTACTGCAAACACTCCTTGGCATTCTTTTCCTCTTGGTGTCTCTATTCTCCCTTGGCTTTGAAATGTCCTACTTCACAGCAACTGTCCCCTCAGCTGAGAGGAAACCAGTCACACTTTCTACACCACAGCCCAGGTGCTCTGTGTGTGTGTGAATGCAAACGTGTGTGCACCACAGGCAGAGCTATTCCGGGAGCTACACTGTGCTTACTACATATCAACTCAAATCAATCACATGCCTGCCTGGGGGGGGTCACTTCAAATTCCACGTTGAATATTTGCCCCTATGACTCACACAAACACACACACACAGAGCAAGTCAAAATATGAACTGTATCCTTATGTTTCTCCTTAACACACACTAGGAAGAGTCAAGGTTGTTCTTAGTTTTTTGCAGTGACATCCACTGATCTACCAACACCTAGAATTCTGAAAAATGTGATAGGGATTTCACAAAGTGAGAAAAGAGGTGATGAGAGCAAACGTGTGTCTAATACGTCCAAGCTCTAGGTCAGGTATAGAAGGGGCAGGAAGCATAGCAGCCGAGGAAGGGAGGAGGGGAATTACAGTTTATTGAGACAGAAGCATTTCTACCAGAAAAGTGGGTACCTCTCTAATAGGAAAGCTGGTAAGCATGGAGAAATGCCCAGAAGACTCACCAGCCACCTAAAAGATCCCCGAGGGATGTCCCTTAGCCCAAGCCTTGGGACTTGGTTCAGTGTCCACTATGGGTCTGGGTGCCAAATTATTTCAATTCCCCCCAAGCCCAGTAGAGCCCACAAAGGCTGGATGGTGGGGGTGGAGCCAGGTGGCATTTGGGCCTCAGAATAGCAGCCAAATGGCGCCCAAAGCCTTTTGAAAACAGCTGCATGTTGCCTCAGCCTGGCTGTGACCACGGCAGGAGCTGTGGTCACGTTTCCTCCCCAGTGGGAGGACAAATACATACATTCCCCAGGTCCTGGCTGACGGGTGGGGCTGTGGTGGGAAAGGAGTTAAGACCGCTGAGGGCATGACAGCATGGGCTACAGCTCGCCTTGATTTCCGGGAGAGCTGGCCGGGGGTCAGCTTCCAGCCCATGCCTTAGGCTGTTATGGGCTCCAGGGTGTAATTAGGCGACACACACAACCAGGTTCAAATTCCTGCTTTGTCACTCACCAGCTGAGGACCCTGGTCAAGCTACATGGCCTGTCTGTTTTCTTCCTGACAAAATAGGAATAGTATCACCTGCTTGGAACCTTCCAGGCTGGTTGTAAGGATTGCATGATCCAATATAAAAGCAAGAAGCCTGGGGCTGGGCACAGGATGCACATTAAATGTGAACCCTGTTACTAATGTGTTCTCAGGGGTCTAGACTGGCCAAACCCAGGTGTTCTAATTTTTTAGGAAATAGAAAACAGAATCGGCAGTGGCTGAGTCCCTGGACGCTCAACGTGAGCGCTTCACACCATGGAGATACCTTTTTACTGTAGTGGAAGAGGCTTAAAACATCCACTTCCCCTGGGAACACCCAGTGACAATAAATTAATATCTCCAATTTGTGAAGAGTTCATACAAAGGGATAAGGAAGCTCTTTAAGCCTCAAGAAAAAATAATGGCCCTAAAAGGCAGAAGTCACCAAGTGTTCATTGACAGATGAATGAATAGACCAAATGTGGTATACAATAGAGTGTACGGTGGTGTACAATGGCATATTATTCAGCCTTCAAAAGGAAGGACATTTTGACACATGCTATGACCTGAATGAACCATGAAGATATTTTCCTAAGTCAATAAGCCAGTCACAAAAAGACAAATACATATGGTGATGATTCTCCCATCATGAGATTCCTAGAGTAATCAAGGTCATAGAGACATAGAATAGTGAATGGGTGCAGCGTCTCACACTTACAATCCTAGCAGTCGGGGAGGCTGAAGAGAGAGGATCCTTGAGTTCAGAAGTTCAAGACCAACCTGAGCAACAGAGTGAGACCTTATTTCTACTCTAAATAGAATAGTTAGCCAGGCATTGTGGTGGGGATCTGTAGTCCCAGCTATTGCAGAGGCTGAGGCAGGAGGATCATTTGAGCCCAGAAGTTTGAGGTTGCAGTGAGCTGTGATGATGCCACGGCATTCTAACCTGAGAGACCGAGTAAGACCCTGTCTCAGAAAAAGAAAAAAAGTATAGTGGTGGTTGTCAGGCGCTGGGGAAAGAGGGAAAGTTTCAACTGAAGATGGATGGTGACAGCTGGAAGACAATGTGAATGTACTTAATGCCACAGGACTGTATACTTAAAAATGGCTAAAATGGTAAACTGTATGTTTGACCACAATAAAAAGACCAAGGAAAGACAATTCACAAAAGAAGAAATGTAAATAGTAAATAAATATCTGAAAAAATCTTCAAGCTCATTAATAATTTAAGAAATGCAAATTAAACCCACTTCAAAATGTTATTTTTTGCCTCTACAGTTAGTGAAGAGATGCTAAAATGCAGACCCACAATGCCAGCAAGGACATTCTCAGGCAGCTGTGATGCACCTTTTTAGGAAGAGCCCAGGATTCACTCATTTTTGCTTATTCCCAAAATGAGCATGGGGGCCCTGGGAGGCCGGGAGTGGGAGTAGGAAGCAGTGGAGTGGACAATAAGGTGGTTGCTCCAGAGGAAGAATAATGAAACAGACCACAGGCACAGCTCCTGTGGATGGCCTCTCTTCCCCTTCATTCTGGTCAAACACAGTTGACCTGTCAGAAAAATGCAAGGGAAATGATGCAGATGGGATCCAGTTATGTAACTTCTCTATCATATGAGAGAAAAGCAAGAGGCCAGGAAAGGAGCTGGGGACACAGCAAGAGCCTCAGGGACCAGGATCCTTTAATAAGAATAAGGAGAAGGCCGGGTGTGGTGGCTCACGTCTGTAATCCTAGCACTCGGGGAGGCTGAGGCAGGTGGGTTGCTTGTGCTCAGGAGTTCGAGACCAGCCTGAGGAAGGGCGATACCCCATCTCTGAAAAAATAGCTGGGTGTTGTGGCAGATGCCTGTAGTCTCAGCTACTCTGGATGAAGCAAGAGAGTCTGCCTCTTGCTCAGCTGAGGAGAGAGGACCTTGTAAGCCCAAGAATTTGAAGTTGTTGTGAGCTATGACACCACAGCATAGGGAGACAAAGTGAGACTCTGTTTCAAAAAAAAAAAAGAACAAAGAGAAAGCAAAGCCTTTTGTCATCCCTCCTCTGAGTACACAGCGCAGGTGCCAGGCAGATCTTCTCTGCCAACCTGGGAGGAAAAGCACAGCAAAGCACCCATGAGCCCAGGAGCAGCCAGGAACTTCTGTTAATGTTGACTGATAGGTCCTAGGACTGAGCAGAATGGACATACAAATGGATGGTTCTGAATCCAGGACACGACCGGAAGTGAGCTGCAAGTGACAGCCAGCAAGCAGCAGGAGTGACACCTTGACTGCTGGCAAGTGTCAAGTCCCAAGCACTCACAGGTCTTCACCCAAGCAAAGCTCATTCCTCTAAATGTGAATTACTTCTCAATTTAGAATCAATGTGAGAACAAGGCACAGAAGCATGGGGTCTGCAAAAAAACAGGCATCATTGTTTCCTGCTGAATCTATCCTGGCTTTCTGCTCTTCAGAGAGTCCAGCTCCAGCTAGTCAAGAAACAAAAGGAGCATTTCCTAGTATGCCCAGCTGTTTCTGGGTTGGTCACTCTTTGCCCATCCCGTCCCATCCCCTATTCTCCTCCAACGGACTCTTGCTGTTTTCTTAAAGTATATCTAAAAAACACAGGCTTTGATCAGGTAAAATGCTAACTTCAGACTCAGTAACCCCTAGGGAGAGACCTGTAGTCATAAATAAGAGGATCTAAGAGCAGGTAAACCCTCCAGAGGGGATACGTGGACCTTCAGAACTCTCATGGTTGCTGATGGAATGTTCTATAGGGGCCCTGAAACCTAGCCCAGTATACTTCTTTTGCAGCTTAGTCCACGTTCAATTGCCAAAATGGTTACTCTCCCTGAAAGCCTACAACCCTACTACCACCACCACCAGCCTACCACACCTCTTCTGTACAAATTCCTCAGCAAGATATCCATGTGGTTGAAGGAGGAAAGGATTGGCTCCAGAAGAACGAGTCTGCCAAGTTAAGCACGGGAGTAGTGCTTGGAAATCGGTGAGGGGTGGCTCTTGGAAAAGAGAGCTTTTGAGGTTCTTCCCATGTCAGAGCCTGGGGAGGGGTCAGAGTCTATGGAATGTTGGGGCCTGGGGGATGTCATGCTGTGTTTGGAGATACAAAACTAACCATTATGATGTAATGTGTGAGAGAGAGAGAGATGTTAAGTTCTTTATATTTAGGGCCAAATAGCCAACTGCCCACATCAGAGCTGGGGAGTGGCAGCAGTTCTCATGTGAACTTCAGGTTACTACGAGAAAGTACAATACGAGGGGACTGCTGTATAAAAAATGGAACACTCTTGTTGAAGAACATCACAATGATGGAAGTATCAGGTACAGGTCTCGGGGAGTAGTAATCTTATGTTCTAAACTGCTCTGGCAACATTTAGAATATTGTTTCATATGCGCTTGTTTTAGTTCCAATGATAAACTAGGAATTGTCCTAGAAAGAGTTGGTGTGGGAACAAAGAAAGGGTAAAAGGAACTACAAAGAAGTTCTGCACAACTTCTGGACAAAGAAGACTAAAGGAAGATGTAGAATGACAGAATGTCACAGATTTGAGGGCTCCTAATTCAGTAGTATCACCCAGATCAGCATTAGGGACCTTGAGACTCACAGGTCATACATAACATCGTGGGTTTTTAGCACTGGAGAGAACTTTACATGAAATTTGATCTACTCCCATTTTAGGGATGAGAAAACTGAGATAAGAAATTTTAAGTGTGTAACGTAGGCAGAAGACCAGATGTAGCAGAACCAAGACTATGATTCAGTCCCTTGATTTTTAGTCTAAGTCTCTTCCACCATAAGAGCACTATCTTGAGTTTTTTTTGGTGGTGGGGGGGTTCTTTTCTTTTCCTTTTTTTTTTCTTTGTGAGGTGGAGTCTCACTCTGTTGTCCTAGCAAGAGTGCTGTGGCATCATTGTAGTTCACTGCAACCTAGGCTCAAGTGATCCTCCTGCCTCAGCCTCCCAAATAGCTAGGACTATACCTGCCACCATGCCTGGCTATTTTTTTATATTTTTAGCAGAGATGGGGTCTCATTCTTGCTCAGGCTGGTCCCAAACTCATGAGCTCAAGGGATCCTCACAGCTGCACCTCTCAGAGTGGTAGGATTACGGGTGTGAGTCACCATGCCTAGCCAAGAGCACTATCATGTAACATTCAGAGACACCAGGAGTAGCTCTGCCCTGGTTCAAAGGGCTACTCAAGAATCAGTGGTGAGGCTCAGTGCCTGTGGCTCAAGCAGCTAAGGTGCTTGCCACATACACCTGAGCTGGCGGGTTCAAATCCAGCCTGGGCCCACCAAACAACAATAATGGCTGCAACCAAAAAATAGATGGGTGTTGTGGCGGGCGCCTGTAGTCCTAGCCACTTGGGAGGCGGAGGCAGGAGACTCGCTTGAGCCCAGGAGTTGGAGGTTGCTGTGAGTTGTGATTTCATAGCACTCTACCCAGGGCGACAGCTTGAGGCTCTGTCTCAAAAAAAAAAAAAAAAAGAATCAGTGGTGAAATGTAAGTACATTTCACAGTGGAAGGTGGGGTATGGGGACATGGGGGGGTTAGTTCTGTTTTGGTCTAAGAGCTTCCCAACAACCAATCTAGCCAGGCCTGGCATCAGCTGCCCCAGGAGGCAGGGAGGCCCCCATTCCCAGGGGATCTTCAGAAGGAGAAAGGGATTCTGCTGAGAGGTAGGACATTGGTCTCTACTAATAGTAAAATTCCATGATTCCCACTTAGAGAAGGAGGCTTTCCAGCACCCCGCCCCCAGCCACAAGGTTGGGAAGGCTGAAGACACAAGTAGAGACAGGGTCAATGCTGAGGCTGCTGACCTAGAACAGCAGCACAGGGTGGTGGGGACAAGCCTCAGTTCCTTGTGGCCACTTCTTCTCTGGGTTTAAAGGGCTCCTGGGGCCTAACTCAAGGAGAGGAATATCCTGAAGTCAGAACTGTAGTACAGATGACCATTGTTTTTGTGCTCAAGAATTCAGCAAGGGTGTTATTGACACTAAAGCAGGCAAGATTCTAGTTGGGCATAATGAAGATCTCCTTGTCCAGCAGAGTCATAAACACTGTAACTAACTGCAGCGAGAAGTTCAGAGGCTCTGCCACTTCCCCAAGGGCACACACAGCTTTCTGGCCTGCAGGCTCAGAAGCTCAGCTGTCGCCAGGCTGGGAACTGGACCAGATGGCCTTCCAGTCTCAGGTCTGGCATTCCTAGACCTGCCTAGGAATCTTCCCAGCAGCACCAAGGGAAACCATTGGCCATGCTATCACCCCCGGGCTCTTTCTCCCCAGTTTACATTTTAATGTTCCATATAAGGCAGCTACTCCCACCAAGGGACATATCCTCTGCCACCAAGCCCAAATGGCTCACTGGCTTCGCTCCAAGGTAAAAAGAGAGTTTCACTCCTAAGCCTCTTTCTCTGTCCAGACAGACTAATTCATCATGTATACTGGAAAGTCCCTTTTAAGCCACAGCCAAAAGTCTTTCTTTTTTCTTGGAGCCCAGATAAGCTGGAAAGAGAGTTCACTGTTTTGCAAGTTTCAGAGGTGAAAGTCACTGTCATTTAAAAAAAAAAAAAAATTGGCATAAAGTCTAGAAATGATTCACACTGAGAAGTCTGACTGGTTGATTGCAAATTCATTCACAGCTTAATAAATCATTTGCTTGGGGGGTGGGGAAGGTAGCAGGAGGCAAGAGACCGCAAAGAGCAAAGGGAACAAACACGGCAGGATCCCCGGGGACCTGCGCATTCTTCTTGGGCCTCGCTGGTGTTACCTGGTGGCTCTAGCTTTTATTGAAAGAGGATGTACGTGAGGCTGAGTAAATAATAGAGTTTGGCTGGAAATTCAAAGAAACCTTGGGACAACCCGACCATACAGTCTCAGACAGGACAGCAAGCCCCCTCCATCTCCCTCCCCCGCCCCCATTGCTAAGGCTTCCAAGGTAAATATCTCAATTTTTAAAAGGGCTGGCGGGTGACTGGGGAGGGAAAGGCAGTTTGTAGCAGGACCAGGAAAATAGAAATTGCTTCTATTTGCAATGTACAGGCTGAAAAGGTCCCATCACTGCCCACCCCGTCACCCCCAACTCCACCCCTGCCTTTGAAGCCACTGACCTTTGCCAAGAAGGCGGCGTTCCTGATGGCGCCCACCATCTCTCCCCCCTTAGGGTGCACCTTGGCCACGTGCATCCACATGCGTTCCCAGGTGTGGCTATCGATGGGGAAGCCGCTCTTGTTAACGTGAAACAGCACCCCGCCGTCTTTGTCCTCCTCCTCCGAGCCCCCGCTGGTGGCGAGGCTCACGGGCCGCGCGTGGCTGCTCCGGGACCGGGTGCCTTTGGCGCCTTTGGGGTGGGGGCAGCGGTGAGTGTCCGCAGCGGAGCCGGTCATGGTGGGGCCGGGGCGGGGAGCGCAGTGCCGGGGGAGAGCGGGGGCGGCGGCGGCGGGGGGCGTGTGCGCGCGGGCGCGGCGCAGGGATCAGCGCCCCGCGGGGGTGGCCTTCTCCATGCCTCTAGCTGCCGCAGGACACACGAAGGGAGAGCGGCGGCGGGAGTCCGCGGAGGCGGCCGTACTCTCGGCTAAGGGCCGCGCCTGGAATCAGTGGAGACACAGCAGACACCACGGCTAAGAGGACATCCCCTGGGGGTGAGAACTCGAGTGAGGGGGCCCCAAAGTGTTTCCACGCCACCTCCCGCTAACCCAGTGCGCTGACAGAACCCTTGGGAATGGAATACCTAGATTACCTAGAAAGACAGCTCGCAATTTGCCACAAAGCTTCACACAAACCTAAACACCGGGGGCGTAGGGGATGCGTAGGGGACAGTGAAGGGAGAAGAAAGCCAGCTCGTGTAGCATGAAGGAACAGGAGGTCCCCACACGGCTCCACACATTGCTTGGTCTCCAGATGCAGCAGAGCGAGGAGCTGAGCCAAGTAACGTGTCAGCACGTGAGTGAGTGCCCAGAGCTGGCGCGAGGGCGCTGCAGCAGCCTCGGCTTGCAAAGGCGGCTGGGTTTCTCCCTGGCCCCCGGCGGGGCTGTGGTGGGCAGAATTCCACCCGCCCCCTTTCCCTGAGTCCAGCCATGCACCGGGAGAGACTGGGTGCACGCGGGGCGCAGGAAGCGCGCACCGCAGCTCCGGAGCCCTACCTCGGGACAGTCGGCTTCATTGCTGCAGAGCCTCTCCGGGCGGCGGGGGCGACGAGGACCGCTGCTGCTGTTGCTGCTGCTGCTGCTGCTGCTGCTGCTGCTGGGCCTGGGGCTGGGGCTGCTGCTGCCGTCGCCTCATTCCATGTCCCATTCTCGAATGTTATTCTGTGACATATAACCGAGTCACCCGGGCAGCCGCCGATGTTCCGAATGCGTCCATTGGCCACCGCAACAAAGAGGGGCGGGTCCCGGGCTTGGGACTCTACAACCCCGAGCTCCGCGACGTTCTGATTGGCTTCGGGGGTTCCCTGGCGGGAGGGGATACGAGTAGGGGGAACTGGGCGGCCACGCGAAATCCGATCGCTGTAGTGTCCTGGGAGCCCCGCGGGACTGGAGCGTTTGTCCATGGGACTTAAGATCGAGTTTCCCCAGAGGTCATGGCACTGCGAGGGTTTGCAACTGTGGCAAGCAGAGGAGAAGCAAAGCCACCCTAGCAATGCCCTGAGGAGTGCTGGACAGCCACCTGCCGTACCGGGATGATGTGTGGTCAGGCAAGGGCTGTTCACGCGTATGCGCGCAGTTCAACGTTAGGTTACAAAATTCCCAAAACTGACGAGTGGGCACAGCCTCGGATCTTCTGGTATTAGTCATGATTTAAACCCAAGCTAATATGCAACAATGAAACCCAGGAGGTCAGCCGGGCCTTGACGGTTTGCCACGGGTACAGAGTTAGGGCTGGGGTGGAGAGAGGCTTCAAATCCATGGGGAGGTGGGAGGCCCTCCCACACATTACTGAAACATCTTTTTCTAATTTTTTCTTTTTTTCTTTTCTTTTTTTTTTTTTTTTTTTCCTTGGACAGAGTCTTGCTCTGTCACATCACTACAACCTCAAATTCCTGGGTTCCATCCGACCTCCTACCTCAGCCTCTGGCGGCTGGGACTACAGGAACTTGCCAATGCCCAGCTAATTTTTCTATTTTTAGTAGGGATCTGGCTCTTGCTCAAGCTGGTCTCAAACTTTTGAGCTCCAGCCTCAGCCTCCCAGAGTGCTAGGATCAGGGGTGTGAGCCACCAAGACTGGCTGTGGCTTTTTTTTTTTCCCCAAGAAAGAGAAGAGCACAGTGGTGTGGAAAAAGTACCAGACTGCTGACCCATGAACTGGCTCTATATCCAGGCTTGTCACTGTGGATCAGTCACGTCCCAGCTTTGGGCCTTATCTTCTCTTTCTGAGAAAAGTAGAGCAGATCTCTACTCTCCAAAGTCTCTTCTGATTCTCAGGTTCTGTGATTCCCTAACTTCCTCTCTCATAGACACTTAGGATCCTGGCCATAATGTCCTTCCTCTTTAAACTCCAGGGCAGTGTGCTGGCTCTGAGAGGGTGAAGCAGTTATTATAGAAATGGAAGTGAACCTCAAATTAAGAACCATTGTCACAGAGCCACTGATGGCAGATCAGTTTCTGGATGCTTAACCCCACCAGTTGCCTATAATGGAACTGGAACTTGTCATCCACAGAGAGGTGGGGTGAGGAGACCAGCAGAGGTCCCTAAGATGCAGCTGAGAGCTAGGACGAGGGTGAGGATACCTGGATTCTGGACCTGGCCTGGACTCCTCCCTCGGAGAGAGCCCATGCCTAGGACTTTATAGATTCGATAATGAGAATAATAACTTAGGTCTATATAGACAAAAGAAATGTCCCAATTAGGGAAATTATCTGAATATTCAAGTGAAACAAGCATACCTGAAAATAATCAAGAAATTGAGAGACAATTACTCCACTCCATATAATTGCTTCAGTTTTCGTTTCCTGATTGAAAGCATGCCTCAGGGACTGATCTATTTTCTTATCTCAAACACTTTTCTTCCCCTCTTTTTGCATTCATCTCTCAAACACGTCCCTGTCTCCACATTTCCCCAGAGTTTCAAGTCCAGGAGACTAGAATTTCAGGATGAAGACCTTCATGCAGAGGATGAGAATTTGACCTGACAATCCCTCAGGAGAAAACTGAGCTCTCAAAGCTCAAGTGAACAGACCAGTTGGTGAACATCGAAGACTATCTGTCAGGGGTCACCTTCCCTGGAATCATTTCCCACTGTCCCCACTTAGGCCAGATCCGGACACCTATAATCACCCTGTTAAACCAGCGCCTGGTATCTTCCTCTAATTGAATACAAATCCTAGTGACCAGAGAGCGTTATCAGTTCATCTTCCTGCCTCCCAGATTCTCCACAATATTTCTTTCTTTCTTTTTTTTTAGACAGAGTCTCCCTCTGTTGCCCCAGGCTAGAGTGCCATGGCCTCAACCTAGCTCGCAGCAATGTCAGACTCCTAGGCTCAAGTAATCCTGTCTCAGCCTCCTGAGTAGCTGGGACTACAGGCACCTGCCATAACACCTTGCTAATTTTTCTATTTTTAGTAGAGACGGGGTTTTGCTCTTGCTCAGACTGGTCTTGAATTCCTGGGCTTTGGCCTTCCAGAGTGCTAGGATTACAGGTGTGAGCCACCAAACTTCACCACTTCTGCAATATTTCATTGCCTGTTCTCCTCTTCCCCAGAGGGGGGAGAGGGTAGAGAGCCAAGTGACAGAACATATGAAGACAGTTGGGAGATTTGGCTACTTCCCCAAAGAGGTGGTAGGGCAGTTTCTGAAGTGAACTTGCTATCTTGGTTAAGGCACTGAGAGGGGAGAAGGGTCTTTTTTTTTTTTTCCTCAGAGTTCCTCTGCCTTTGACAGTTGCACTAGGTTGCCTGAACCAGCCAACTTTGTTCTTCATTTCCTGTGTATTTGTTGTTATATGATCCTCAAGTGAACCCAAGCCAGATAGATTATGGGTTTTGTAAGTTCTGGTAGTGAGTAAGGGATGTGGCCGTGTATATACAGAGTGAGACAAAGCTAATTTCCAATTTGAACAATGACACACTGTGACTGGATGCTGAACCTCCAAGAGCATGGTCACTTCCAGTCATTGACATCACCAACTGGTATAGCAGGGAAGTGTAGTGGGAAAATCCAGAATGAGAAGAACTGGGTTCAAATAACATCTCTTTACTCAGGCGCTGGCTTCTGGAGTCATGAAAATAAGACAAAAATCCTACTGTGATGGATCATATTCCTAGCTCCACCCCTTACTGTGGTGCAATGTTGTGTAAGTTACTCAACAACAATGAGCCTTGGCTCGGCGCCTGTAACTGAGCGGCTAGGGTGCCAGCCACATACACAGGAGCTGGCAGTTCGAACCCAGCCCCGGCCTGCCAAACAACAATGACAATTACAACCCCCCAAATATCTGGGTGTTGTGGCGGGTGCCTGGAGTCCCAGC